ATTTACTTTTTTTTTCTTGGCAGTCTTTTGAAGGCTAGGAACGATACCAAATATCTGATGTGAGACCAGCTTTTGGGTTTGATCAATATTTCTTTACACGCTAGATTGACAAATAATGGGGAGCAACTCTGCTGACAATGGTATACGAGTCAACTGGAGTAAGGAATGCATGTACTCTAGTTCCTTGTACAAGACACATCCCACGTGCTTTTTCTATACGTCAAGTTCTTGCGTGTGAAGATGTATTTTTACTGCTACTTCACGCTAATAAATAGTTTAACACTCTTTGAATTAGTTATTTTTTAGAGTGTTATTTTAATTGATTAGTTGTTTTCGAGATTTTTAAAAAAAAATTTATTGTAATTGCATATATGAAAAACTTTATTGTAAATAATTTTTAGGGTATTTTTTAGGAGCATTTTTAGAGGGTTTTCTTGAATGTATTTTGGAATATTTTTAAAATTTATACTTTTTTTAGAATATTTTTTAAAAAGTTTATATCACCTATTGCCACCACCCCCTCCGCCCTTCTCCCTCCTCCCTCATCTATCATCTCTCTCCCTCTTTTTTCTTCTCCCTCTCCTCTCTTCTTCTCCTACCTCCCTTCTTCATTTTCCTTCCTTCCCTCCCTCGCCCCCAGATCCTCCCTTTCCCTTCGCGACTAGATCGCGATCGACCAGCAAGAGGAGGTCTAGGAGGTGGAAAAAGGGAGGGAAAGGAGGTGAGGAAGGGGATGAGAGAGAAGGAGATGGAAAGGGAGGAGAAGGAAGGAAGGAGAGGATGACAGAGATAGAGGAGGATGGAGGAAGAGAGAGAAGGAACAAGACGGTGGTCACGATGGTGGAAGAGGGAGGGTGGTGGCAATGGCAGTGGAGGGTATTGGGTGGTAGTGCTGGACCTGATAGTGGTGGGCAGTGTGCGGAAGAAGAAAAGTGAAAATTTTTTTAGATTAAATGCAGTAAACCCCTCCTTCGAACTTTACCCTTATGTGTGTTTTGCCTCTGAATTCATTAAATAAGTACTTTGTCTCCCTAATTGATATTTTAAAATAAAAGTGTGTCTACAATATTTCTATATTTTTAAGAGTTCAACACTTATAAAAGTGTTCAAAATTCAGGAGATGAAAATACTTAAAATATAATGATAAGAAGATAGGATAACAATAATCTTGGAAATTCTAATAATGAAGAGTGATCTATAATTCTTAAAATTATAGCGTCTATAACATTTCTATTTTTTTATAAATAAATACATGGGAGTTATATATCACGAAGGATACAAGCGACATAAGTGTAAAATGTATGGAAAACAATGGACCGCAGCGTGAAGTCACCGGAATGAGACCAAGAACAGGGACGGTTAACAGAGAAATCGTTGAGATCGATTTTGTGCATTTTGTATAAGATGTAATTTAGTTTGCACACGATGTAATTTATTTTGCATAATGTGTAATTCAGAACAAAATTTTATGAATTCCATATATGATGTAAAAAAAATGTATAAGCCATAAGGTAAAATCTGAATGTTAAAATTTTTATGATCAAATCTTAGCCATTTGCCTTTCGGAACTTCCGGCCCCATTTCCCACCAGGATATATGATGCAATGCTGTCCTTGAGAAAAATGACAACTTCATGCCCCACCACTACTAGTTTGGATCGTGTAATTCCTGATGCCATAAGATGAGGCGTTGGTTGAACTGTGCTTGCCGGGCGCCATGTGTGAGTGGCGACAGAATGAAACCATCATGTTAATGCTTTTCCAAGTCAAGCCATGAATCCACAACATATTCTCACATCGAATCTTTTACTACACAAGTTACAAGAGATTTTTTCTCCCCTACCTCGCTCTAGAAACTAGATACTAATTCTAGTCTCAATAATTTCCTTTCTCTTAACTCAGTGGACGAATTTCACTTCACGCTGAGAAGACTAGTGGTTCAAAATAAGAAGAGTTTTACTGGATTGTTATTTTTCTAAAGTTTTTATAAAAAAAATGTATTTTAACGAGTTAATATAAATGAAATAAAAAATAATAAAAAAATATATTTATCAAAAATATAAAATTTTTATAAGAAAAATGACAATTCAAATAAAGAGCTTTCTTGTTTGAAGAGGCATAAGAGAGTGGAACCATTGATTTTTTTTTTTTCAAATAATTAGGGACAAAATGTCTAGCTGATACCAATTCTATTGTTAATAAAAGCATAAAATCAAAATCCGAGGAAATTTTCGAAAAATGTTAACAAAGACCCTTTTTGTTATTGGTATTTCCATTGTCATTTTTATTTTATAGTTTCTATTTATTAAACTATATAATATACTTAACAAATGGTAGAAGTGTAAATGGCAAAAAACGGAGTGCAAATAACATTTCTCTTTAACTAATAACGAATTCTTTCGCCCAACTATTAGTTTGCTTTTGATTATTCCCTGAGTGGTGTATTGTGACCATGACCCAGCAAGTTAAATTTAAACATAAAACTTTGAATAAATCTTATATACACAATGTATATACTATCACCATTTGATTCATGACATGCGTGTAAAAATTGAATTTCAAATTTAAATTTTGTATAATTATCATTCATCCAACGCTGACAGTGTATACACTATCAGGGCAGTGTAAGAAAGATTAATCCTAAAACTTTTGCCTAAGAAAAGGGTTTAATTATTGTAAAGTGGGTTTTGACTTTTCTTAAAGCAAATGGATGTCGTTTTGAATATTTACTTTTAAGTATGGCAAATTTGTAAAAGTAGATGTTACAGCGACTCGTGTCAGCCGGCAGCTGGTAGTTTTTTTTTTTTTTGTTTCTTTTATCTTTTTGCTTTGTTGCTTTCAGTTCATCTCTGAAATCCTTTACAATGGAGACTGGAGAGGCGTATCTAGAGAACAAGCGTTGAAACTTTTATAATAACAATTTTTTTTTTCGAAAGGCATTACTCAGGTTGGGATTCTCATCATTAGATTACTCTTCATTTACTTATATCTAAATTACTATAATTTTATAAATCATCTAATTATATCATTAATTTTTTTTTAATGTCTATATCATTAATTTTTTTTTTAATGTCTAGATCAACATACTACAAGATGATATTCTTTTTCAAAAATTTTGACATTCAATTTCGTGTGAAACATTTGAATGATGAAAAATAGGTCCAAATTATAATAAAATTTCTAATGATTAATCAAACGGCAAAATTTCACCAATTTCATACAAAGTTTTATGTATAACTAACACAAGCGATGAAATATATTATGAACGCTGCTGATTTTGGAAGATAATTTTTAAATTAATTTAATTGTCTTGTAATGATACAATGGAGAGGGACCTAGTCCATTGGACTCAACTCTGATTAAACATTTCAATTCCCAACATAATCATGTGCTTTTTTTATTTGGCAAAAGACATAATAATCCCATTATAAGACAAGATCCGAAATTATGGGCCTATCCTAATTTGTAATATATACAATAATATTCTAACCCCCCCCCCCCCCCCCCAAACCACCTTTTTTTAATACCATCAAAAGATCTAAAATCTATTTGCAAAAGCAAACAGGAGCATAAAAAAATTATCATCCAAAATTAAGTGAAATAGAGCCTATTAAGTTTTCATTTGAATGCCAACAGGGAGCAATTGTAGATATATTGATGAATTACGATAAATTTAGCCACCATTGACAACCAAAAAAAAAAGTGAAAAATAAGTGCCATTACAAAAAGAAGGGACTGATAATTACAATTCGCCGCAAGTACAAGATTTCAGATGGGCAAAGACGGGGCAGCGGTCCAGGAATAGTGGACCACCGTCGAGAGTGTTAGTCACTTGCCATAGATCAATCCACAAAGGTGGCAAGCAATGAAGATTTAATTGAAGGCCCAGCTTGAAACGAGAAAGCTTGCGTGGTCCACTCTGACTAGTCCAGTCCGTCCCACCCAAGAGAAAGGAAAGGTGCGTGTGGCTAAACCCTCCAGTCACGTGCATGCTTTTGGGACACACAGAATCATGAGAAAAGTTGATCTTGATACGCCACCAACAGCAAATGGGAAAATCATCTGTGCACCATAGCCCTTTCAATTCCAAAAGTCTACAAAAATGAAACAGAGGCAACCAAACATGGTAAAAAAAAAATCTGCCTACAAAATAGTGCTCGGTCAACTTTTGAGTATGTGTGTATTAGTACCTTTTTGTCTTTTTGAGGAAAGTACGTGCATACTCATTGATACACAAGACCACGGGCAGGCAACCGGACAGAACGGTTGCAGGTGCAATCGTTTTTAGCGATTTTGTGCATTTTATACACCGCGTAAATTTATTTGCACATGACATAATTTTATTTGCACAACGTGTAACTTTAGAACAAATTTTTGTGAGCCCCACACACGTTGTTAAAAACGAGGTATAAGAAGTGATTTGGACCGTATAATTTTTTGGGGTCAAATTCTAGCCGTGAATTGTTCAAGGACGGTCTTTCTGATGACCGTCCCTGCCCCGTCTCCACTTTGAGTTGCAACAATTGACACTTTCTTTTTTTTATTTTAGAAAAAAGTTTTGATGAGTTCGGCTCCGATTACCACTATGGGTTAGGTTAGGCCTCCGAGACCATAGGTTGCTTACGAGAGGCACTTACAGATCATTCACCAATACAACTCTCACATCGACAATGAGATTCAAATGCACAATTTTTTGTGAGGAAGTGGCCTGTCCTTACCGAAGAGTCAGTAACAATTGAGACTTTACTGCCTGTTCTTTTTTTTTTTGACACGAGGAAAAGAACCCTCCAATGATATCAGGAAAATTGGAATTTGCAAACAATGGACATGAGAAAGGCATCTTCATGGTTTGGAAACTTGATGATTTGACACATAATCAAGGAAAAAAGAAATGCCGGGTTCTTCAGACTTCGCAATTTGAGAAGTGTACGAGTTTGTAATGTATGGATTTTTTTTTGCGTGAAGGGTTGTGTCTACGCGACAAATTGTGAAAATCTATCACTTTTTTAACATTTCATTTGTCTACTTACAATCAATCAACAACCTTTCTCTTTCTTCTCTCTCCCTCCTGATAAGCTGTGTGCTTGCCCCACTCCACTCTGTAATGCTTAACTGCAATCATAGCCAGAAAAGAGGCTTTGAACTTCAATGCATGGGGTATGCAACATTACCTGCTAGGTATGGCGTTTATGATTTATCAGGCAAATTAACTTTTGATTGCAATAGTTTTTCTCCTTTCGGACTCCTCCAATTCTCTCCACCTATTTGCCTTTCACGAAAATCCAACTGTAACTGACTCTGGTCTGACCTCTGTCGTCTATCTAAGAAGAACGGAATGTTATATGAGAGACTTAAATCTCTGGGACTAAAGGATTTTTTACTTGCTTCTTTTTGCAGGGGATGTAGTTAGTAAGGATGATAGGAGCTGTTCTTTTTGATGTCTCGGAAGCAGTAGATTGTTAAAGAGTTTGCAAAGAAAAGAAATCCCTTTTCCGGTCTTGCAATGCCAGTCCCTCTTGCTCCGTATCCAACACCTCCTGTTCCATTTACACCACCTGCAACTGGTATGGTATCATATCCAGGAGCATTCATACTCTGCAAGAGACTTGAATGGACATATCCTGCTTTGCTGCATGGGATATTGAAACATGTTTTCTTGAATTGCTTATGTTATTTAAGTTAAAAAGCTAGATGGAATTTGTGACTTCCATCTTTTTTCACTTTCATAGCCACCTACCGGTAATTCAACTGAAGGAGTTTACTGCAGAGAACCATCAGATTTTGTAAAGTCAAGCACTTGCACTTCAAGATAGAATTTTTTACACAAATTCAGCCTGTTGAATACAATCAATAACAGTAAATTAAGGCAAAAGAAAGCATTCTTCAGATTGAGACCAACAATCAGTATTCAAAAGGTTTTCGCACTTGCGGCAATTTTGGAACAATAAATTTTTCTGGTTTTTGTTCTGCAACTTTGACAAATTTATATGGTTCTACAAAATGATTTGACTTCAAAGCTTCCTGTCACCGTGAAATTTTATGTGCATCTCTTAAGTAGAATTCACCTGTCTTATGATATGTTGCATAGTCTCTGATCCTCAATAAGTTGGATGGTTATCAGGTGCACAGAGCCAGCTTGTTTGTTCTGGTTGTCGAAACCTTTTGGTGTATCCGGTAGGAGCAACCTCTGTGTGTTGTGCAGTTTGCAATGCAGTCACAGCTGTACCTCCTCCTGGTATACTTGCAGTGACTCTCCAACTCATACCTCTCAATTTTCATTCTAGTTAAAATGCTAACAAATTTAGGAGGGCTTTTCTCAGTATCGATTTTCCTTTAGCAGGCACTGAGATGGCTCAGTTGGTTTGTGGGGGCTGCCATACTTTGTTAATGTATATTCGTGGAGCAACAAGCGTGCAGTGTTCTTGTTGTCACACCATCAATTTAGCAATGGAAGGTAAACTAAGTGATAGTATGGTTTTCTGAAGATTGTAACATCATTAATCTGAGATAGCAGCAGTTAAGTATCATGTGGATTTTATGACAGCAAATCAGGTAGCACATGTGAATTGTGGGAACTGCCGGATGCTGTTGATGTACCAATATGGGGCGCGATCTGTAAAATGCGCCGTCTGCAATTTTGTGACATCAATTGGGGTCAGTATATATTTTGTTTAACCAGCTTTTACAAGTTTAAATCATAATCATGGTAGGTAGATAAATTTCAGGAGGAGCTAAAAAGAAAAACTTGATCAAATTGTGAAAGCTATCTGCAGCATAATGCAGATTGCAGTGTATCCAAGTCACAGACACTGTGAGACAAGAGATGCCTACTAATTGTGCAGCTGGACACTGCAGATGCACAATAGTGGGATCAAATGAACTAGGAGCAAAAGATTAAGTTGCTTGAATATCAGCAGATCTTCTAGCTAACTCTTGCTGTTAACGGTTGCAAAAATTTTACTTCCCTGATTATCCTCCACACAAATTATTCAGTTAACTATAAGCCATTCACATTCTTGATCCCAAGAATGTCATATGGTTCAATAAATGATAATCATCAGTCATCCGCTGATTATCATGATTGCAATTATTGATCTCTCACTTATAAGGCATAAGGGAACTTCCCAGAAAGTAACATTTGACATTCTGGCAGAAACACCTTAGTAAGCTCCTCCTCTTCCCAACCTTCTTCACATGTGCCAAACATCCACTCTCTGAAAACAGCAATTTTGCCCTTTCTTTTTCCCCTCTTGAGTTCCTTGGATCTCTGACCAACTTGCATTCTGGAATGGCCCGTACACTTTGTTAAGTACTATGACTAGAGATTAAAACTTAGTTAAGCACTTTGAGGATGTATGTTGGTAGAGGAGAGTAATAACTTTCAGCATTGTCACATGTAGATAATGGAACCCTATGCTAATCTTAATACAAACTAATCATGTCCACTGTTTCAACTTCATGTAACAAATTTCCATTGAACGACAGGCATCAGCGAGCACTATTGAGCAGAAGTTCAACAGCTGAACTCTGAAGTTTTCTGTTTCAATACCACATTATATTGCCATTTTGAAGAGCTGCCAGAAACTGCAAAATTCCTGGAAGCAGAGAAAGTATATTTCTGCTGCATTGTATAGAGTTCTTTTTCCAGCGCGTGATTTACATATGAATAAGCAAATTTTCCTGCGTAAATGCACAAGATTATTATCTATGAATTTGAGGTTGCTAGCGTGTTTCAAATTATTGGATAAGAAAAACATCATTTTCTTGTAGTGCTTCTTCTAATTGCATCAAGCACACGACATCAGGCTGTATATTTCACTTTATCCATCTTTTTGAATTGTCAGTGGGATGCTGGAATTAAATGCTTACACCAAAATATCAATCTCCAAAAATTGACTTTTTCCAATTGGATAATCCTGAAGATAGGAATCGGGTCAAATGTTCCTGGTGAAAAAGGTTGGATGCCTGAAATTATCCACATGGGATGTCTCATCAAAAATTAGACCTGGTCACCTAGCAGATGATTCTAATGCCAGTTCAAAACCAATGGGTACAATGGCCAGGGAGAATCTCTTTAAAGCTCTCTTGTGCACTAGATCAAAGGCTCAAATCCCGCCTAATGCATCTCAAAGAAGCACAGCCCATTCTTAAAATAATCTAAAAAGTGCAGTAGATTTTCTAATCCCTATATAAGTCTCCTTAAACTTCCCCTTCCTTATAGCGTAGACTAGTATAGGAATATGATAGATGTTATTGTTGCGGAAAAAAAAAAACCACTCCAAATGTTACTTCTCCATACTTTACTGTTCTAATGTGGTATTTTACTGTGGTAAAAATTAATTGTTCATCGTGTAGAAAATCTCCAACGTAAAAGTATAGAAAGAGCAAAAGAAATGCGGCTCAGAGAGAAAACAAGAGTCGTTGTTTTTCTCCTTTTCAAAGTAAGAGTCATGACCCTCCTCGAATTGTTTCTTTCGAAAATACTAATCAAGCAGAAAACTAGCCGTCTCTGTTTTCTTCTCCTAGTGCAGAGACTAATCAAATCCTCAAAACGAATATGGAGCTCCTAAGTAAAAGGGCACTCCCCTTTCTTTTTGTTTTACGTCTCTCCTTTCCTAATTACTGCTAAAAACTAAAGAAGATCCCATAGAGGACAAAAGACTAGGTCGTTTCCTAATATCAATTGGGAACATGTTTCTTAGGTCTTCAGCTTAAATTGGGAAATCGCCACGCGGATAAATCTCGACTCTTCCAGACTTGGAGGCTAACTTAGGCGCGACCCCGCGGAACGTCTAAGAATCTTCATTAATCCACTTTTACCCCTTTTCTTGCAATATTCTTGAAATTAGCACCGGTTGTCAAATATAAGTAGAATCCATTCAATAACGCAATATTTGGCCAAAATCAAGGAAAAATATTTATAAATTTAATAGCAATTATACACCTTATCAATTTCTCCCACACTTAACCCATGTTTGCCATCAATCATAAGAACAACAAATCAAACAATCGAGTTCAAACAATAGTTATCATTCAAATTATCTATTGTTAGAGTACAATTAAAACACGTGTCAAGTATTAGTAGCTAGCCTCCAAGAAATATCTCTTCGATTAACTTTTAAAATCAAAAACTTTTTCAATTCTTGGCTAACTAATTTAAAAATATAAAATATTTACCCAACAATCAATCGGCAAATGATTCGACTATTAAGCAAAAATTTTAACATTAAAATTTATGAATCAACGGGCTAATGTAACCATCCACATATTTCCACTCTCATACACATTTTCACTTTTCACTATTAGCATAACATTTTTCTAAGATGCCCCCTACACTTGATTTTTCTTTGTTTTTCAATTTTTCAAGAGAAATGCTTAGTTCTTAGCCATTCAAACCGTTTGATGCGAGCTCCGACATCTACCAAATGTAGGAATTTGATTACTCATCTTTCATTGCTTAAACACTAAATACTCATAACTATCGCCACTTTTTGGCACGAAAGTCAACACTTGTGGTGAAAACTCCCGGTTACTAGGTAAAAAATACTAGTGAAGTATAACCAAATACTATTCACAAATAAGTAAAAAAATAAAATTAAGCATCACAAGTCTACTTCATTTCTCAAACATGGAGAATTAAGATTAATAGTTGAACTAATTTATACGAAAAATGCTAGACAAATATTTACAATGCTTGGAGAAGTTAACCAAAAAGTACAAAAGTCACAAAATTTTTAATATTCACCAAAGAGACATTCTCAGATTTCACTACGTTATACTTGACACATTAAAACATAACACCTTATAATACCTTAGCAATGGTAAAAATTTAAAACGCCTAGCCATTGATGATTACAATTAGCCACAAAAATGACAAAAATAAAATGAAATTCAAAAACTTTTAACAGAAATTCCAATAAAAATGAATAAAATGAATAGTATCACGATACTATACCTCCCATATTTAAATCTTACATTATCCCCAATATAAGCAATAAAGAACAAAAGAATCGAAAGGGAATAACGAAACTTCCCTAATCAACAAGGGGGCATGACAACTATGGGTAAGGGGCAAAAGAAGGAGTACAACGAACGGAATGGTTGCAGCGCTGACCACAATTGGCAAAGACGAGAGCAGCACCGATAACGTTCAAACTCGGCGACACTTTCCAAACAGCGACAACAAGGAATTTGTCATTTGGAATACAAGGGGGAGAAAAAAATGAAAAGAAAGAAAGAGATAATGGAAAAAGAAAGAAAAGAAAAGAAGAAGAATAATTAGGGTTTTGGGAATTTTTTTTTGCTTCCCTCTTGGCGGAACAAGACGCGGGCATGTCTTGTTGCGTTGTAGTCTTCTGATCATGGTTTTGAAATTTTCACGAGATTTAGTATGTCCTCAAGACGTCGCCACATGTTATGGTCTAGTTGTCTTCTGAAATTTCTGAAATTGAAATATGAGTTTGTCAGTCAGTTATGCGTAGGCACACCTTGTCAGGTAGCAGTCTTCTATTTACTAAAACAACAAAACAAAAATCAAACACATAAAATATAAGAAATCTAAGATAAAAATAATAAAAAAGTGAACTAAAAAGTGAATTGAGTTGCCTCCCAATAAACGTCTTTGATTAGATATAAAACATTATTTCTCAATCCGGTTGTAATTTAAACTTTCTTGTAATTGGTGAAATTTCTTTAGAATTCAAATCACCATTACGTGCAATCACCTTTTTTAACTTTTTATCAATTTTCACATCATAAGTTATTTTCAACCCATGACACTTGGTCACAATAAGTTTTAACTTATCCCTGCAATTATATTTAGAAAATTCTCGCATAGAACGATTAATAGCATAAATGGCAAACATAGAATGAAAGTTAATATGATGTTTTATCTTATTAAAAATATTAAAATGAACTATTTCTCCATCAAATTCTATCGTAAGAGTACCCTTACTAATATCAATATTAGTTTGGACAGTATTCGAGAAGAGTCTCCCTAATATAATGAGTGATGAATTTGGAGAGCTTTTAATATCCATGTAAAGCACATAAAAATTAGTAGAAAAAACTAATCCATCTACTTGAACTAAAATATCCTGAATTATCCTATTCGAATAAGTAAATGTACGATCAGCCAATTAAATTATTACCCTTGTTACTTTCAAGGATCCTAGATTTAGGTATCACATTAATAGAAACTCTTAAATCTAGTATGACATTTCTAATTTTAGAATTTTCTATCTTACATGAGATAGTAAACATACTTGAATCCCCGTATTTAGGTGGTAGTTTTCTTTATAAAATCATTGAGACATTCTCATCTACCATGATTTCTCAGCCCCTCTCAATTTTTTCTTGTTGATGCACAAGTTCTTTAAAAATTTAGCGTATTTTGGTACTTGCTTGATCGCATCTAATAAATAGATATTGATTGTCATTTTTCGAAACACCTCTAGGACCTCTTTTTCTTTATCTTGCCTTTTTGGCTTCTCCAACTTATTTGAATTAGGTGATGAGTTAGTATTAACTTTAATTAAATGATCAGAAACTATCTCAGGAGTTGTCTTGTTTAATCCTTCTACTTCCAACTCCTTTTCAATTTGATCTTCGCTCTTATCCTTCGGACCTGTAGGTTTTGGTCCTTCAATTTCTTTCCTTTTTTTGAGGGTCATGGCGCTAACATTCCTTGAATTTACTTCAGGTTGAGAAGAAAGTCTTCCTTTCTCTTGAAACTCCAGACGATTTATTGCAGATTTCATCTGACTCATCTGATTTTGTAGATTTTGTATGCTTCGTCTTCTGTTAGAATTGCAAGGTATTCTATTGAAGTTGCATGGTGTTAAAAGCCAATGCCTTGACCATATTCTTAAGAGATGTTTCTGAATTAGACGAAGAGAATTGAGATCTTGATGGATACTATAGTTGAAACCTTTGCTATCTATCGGGAAAGAAATCTTGCTGTTTATTTTCCCCATAATGAAATTTGGATGGTACATTCAATACAAATTATACGTGTTAGAATAAGGGTCGTACTGCCTACGGGGCGTGAGCACGTTTTCAACTATGTTCACTTGTTTAGCATTATTATATCCATCAGTGGAATGACTAATATCCTTGCAAATTCTGCATGTCTTGACTTACTGCATGTTCCCCACTGCCATTTGTCGAATCATAGATTTTAATTCTAACAATTGCTATTGAATTAATAAAACACTTATCTCATTCACTCGATGAGCATGTACTTCATCCCACGTGTCAAATTGTTAAAAATTTTCAACCATCTCTTCAATCAAATCTTAGGCGTCTTGAGGAGTTTTGTTCACCAAAGCACCTCCATTTGCATCATCAATGATGTTTCTGTTTCTATAGAGTAAGCCTTCATAGAAGTACTGGACGAGCAACTGATCACTAATTTGGTGTTGCAGGCAACTAGTGCATAGTTTCTTGAACCTCTCCAAGTATTCGTAGAGGGATTCTCCTAGTTGCTGATTTATACCACAAATCTCCTTCCGTAGACTAGCAGTTCGAGATGCAGGAAAATATTTTTCTAAAATTTTCTCTTCATGTTCGTCCATATGGTGATCCTCTCCGCAGACAAGTAGTATAACCAATCTTTAGTAGCTCCTATCAAAGAAAAAAGGAAGGCTCACATCTTTATCAGCTCTTCTATAACATTAGGTGATTTTATGCTCGAACAGACAACGGTGAACTCTCAGAGGTGTTTGTGGGGCTATTCACCTGACAAATCATGAAAATTAGGTAAGAGGTGAATTAATCTTGATTTTAATTCAAATGTTACATTTTCAACAAAATTAGAAAAAGTAATGTA